ACAAATTGAATCTGAAGCTACTGTTTGGAGGACAATTTGGAAATATGTACTAAAAGATCTAAATATGGGCATACCCTCCAACCTAATATATAAACTTGTAAGAATGTACTCATTCATTTGACAAATATTTAAGCACTGACTATGTGCCAAACACCATTCTGGGAGTCAGGGCTTTTGCAATGGATACAACAAAGTCCCTTATAGGACCAGCCTTAAACAGTAACAGAGGATGTGTAAAATATCTATTTACAAGAGTATTAACTTCATAGCCCTTTATGAGTTGGAACAGGAAAAAAAAATTAAAATGACCAACTAAAAAAATTGCTTAAATAAATTTTGGGGCATTGACATGATAAAATGTTATTTAGACATTTAAAATGAAATATAGAAACTACTTGATGATAAGGAAAAATATCTCACCATATTAGGTCAAAGAAAGCTGATAGCAAAAGAGAATGTAGAATGTAACTATGTTTGTAAACTTATGTGTGTGTATTTATAAACTCCCAGAATGATGTTTGGCACATAGTCAGTGCTTAAATATATGTATAATATATGTATAAATATATGTATTTATGTATAAGAAAAGCCTGGGATTAGTTACTTTGAAATGTCCAACAGTTATTCTCAGGAGTAGAATGGTGGATGATATTACTTTTTTTCTTTGCCTCTCTTGATGTTTTTTTCCTAATTTCCTCTCATGAATATACTTTTCCATTGAGGTCAGAGAAAAACACCAGTCTTACAAAATGATCTTGAGTCATTTAAATTAAAAAGTAAATAAATAAATAGTACTCAAGTACTAACATTGGGTTTTCTCCTCCATTATCAGGTGTATCTACTCAGGGAAGACCATTAAAGCTCTTTCCAATACATTTACGCTTCTCTCTGATGTGCATTTGTTTGTTTGCAGTGCTGGGGATTGAACCCAGGGCCTTAGGCCTGCTGGGCAGGTGCTCTACCACCCAGCTACCCCCAGCTTTCCATCTGTGCTTTTTAAAAGGATAAAACCAAGTGATGAGGCTAGGTCCTAAGTCTCTGTCTTGGATTCAAGGCTAATTCCACTGCTTTGGACCCTGTGCCCGGCACACCAGCAACATCATAAGAAGCTGTTGTGGAGAAAGAGGTAATTCAATACATAGGGAGGTACCATCAGCTCCCTAAAAATAACTTGTCAGCTCAGAGTCTCACTATTTGAAGACTTAAAACCAAAGCCCGCCCTGAGTTTGAAATGTGTAGCAGCACATAGTGGGTTTAAAAGGATCGCAGTCTCTTCCTTGCCTTCCCCAAGGCCACCTCTAGCCAGGCAGGAGGAAACTATTCACAAGGTGAAGTTCAAGTGAACTTCATGTCCACCCTGAGCTTCAATTTTGCCCTTGCTGATGCCCCAAATTAACCTACTCTGCTTTCAAGTAGGGGAATGTCTGATTAAAAGCATCATGACTTTGATGAATAGAAAACCATTATAAATTTCCATTTTACTTTATGTTCACAGACTCTGAAAGGAAGGTAAAACATTTTCAAACAACACAAACAAACAAACAAAAATCTCACTGAAGCCATATTTTTATTTAAAAGATAAATATCTGGCCTAATTCTACAAGTAGCCAGTTCCATCCAGAATGGATTTCTTCCCATCAAGCTGGAAGGTAGAGATCTTGAAGATATTAATTCCTTTCAGTGCATGTTATTTAGTGCTATGTATAGACCTTTGTCTTCAATGACCTGCAAGAGATCCTATGACACCCAAGAGATCGTCCTACCCTCAGGCAGCTGATTATCTAGAGCACTCTTGTCTATGAGCAGGAGTTTCAGGGATGAGCCAGAACAGTGCTTCTCAATCTTCATGAAATATTTTTCTATTTTTTCAAAATTATTGTAAACACTTATAATCCTGGAATTACTCTCCATGACTAATTGAGGTGGGAGGGGGCAGAGAAAATATATAAATGGATGTCACATTTTTCAGTTTGGTTTCAGCCTTTCTTAGTCAGATAAAGATTTTTGAACAAAGTGGATAATAATTTACTACAAGTAATAAAATAGGATCGATCTTGCCAAGGAGTGGGAACCAGGAATCAGGGCAATCCATATGTACTAATTTGGATATGACAAACTTGGAACCTATTTATAACTTATACAGTATTTTATGGCTCTTTCTTAAAAAAAAAAAACACATCATACCGCATAATTCCTATGAATATACAAGTGTCCTTTGCCAAAAGCAGCTGAAAAAGCAAAAGGATTATCAAAGCATTGTTTTTCAAACCTGAATTCATAATGGGCAATTGTACAGAAATATTTGGTACTTAGTAACCTTGAAACTTTGAATTCAGAAAGATTTTATGGCCCTAGATCTACATGAATTGATGACACAGGTTCATAAATTCACCAAAGATGGATCTGGCCATTGTAACCGGGCTTACCTTTGTGTAGATGTAAAACAAAACCCACAGGGGGTATCAATTATGCCCAGCACACTGCTGCCTGCTACAGGGAAGACACCACCGAGGCTTGGGAAGCCAAATTGGATATGAATTATGGCTTCTATTTAAATAGGTTTGGAAAATAAGGAACCACTATCCCTCTTAACCTTTGTTCACAGAGACTCACATAACATCAGAGGATTAGTAATGCTTTAATTACCTCTGGAATTCAAAATTAGGGAATATGCAAGTATGACTTTGTATAAAATGAAACGAAGTTTCAAATACAACTAACAGATGTTTACTGATCCCTTGAAAGAATAAAGACACACAAGGAGGTGTTGTAGGAGGGACTGGAAGGAGCCATGGCAGGGGAAGTTCTATGACAGCTAACCCATTCTGGGATCAGAATTTCCTTTTGGATCTCACCAGGTCACCTAGTGAGTATCCAAGCTCCTGGCTACACTCCCAAACACCCTCCAGGCTGGACTTCCTGTCCAGGCAAGAAGGCAGACAAGACAGCCAAACTCAGCCTTCTAACTCAGCTTTCTTCAAACTCAGCTTTTTTCAAACTCAGCTTCTTGCTAAGTAGCTTCCTCTCAGGCACTACAGTATTTTTGCCCGAGCTTCATCTAAGTACTGCAATTCTTAAGTGACACTGCGGGATGAATGTTAAATATCAAAAAAACAGACCTCCTCTCTTTCAGGGCTTGCTTGGTTTCTCCTAAGTTTTAAAAATTATCTTTCATCACCAGCACAGAGTCACTTTTCAACCTATATTTAAGGAATAAGAAGGGGGTGTTGTTTATATTTCCACTTTCTGGCTCTCATCTATCTGTAAAATACTTAATTTTTTAATCGGATTAAAGGAAAGTTTTTAACTTTAGAGAGATTTCTTTTTTCTCCATTTCTCCCACTGGGGAGTTCAAACTTCAAGAACCTGATAACCTCAAAAAAATCAACCTCAAGCTGAAGTCAGCAGGAGGAATTTCAGGTTTTGCAGAAGTACATTTGCATTCTCATTAGCTTTTGCTAACCAGTAAGTAGTTCTCATCCTCCTGACAAGGAAGGTGCCCTGGAAAGAGAAACAGCACATATGTGCCTCTCCAACAGGTTAACACACTGACCTGCTTTAGAGGGAACAAATGGAGTGGCTCCAGGCAATGACTGTAGGGACTTCAAGGGAAACTCCAAATGGAAAGGATTTAAAAGGAAATCGTACACTGACAATAAGAGGTGAAGTGTCTTGCTCATATTAACTATTTTCGCCCAAACCTCAAATATGACTGATGTTAAGGTCTTATTGAATTGTACTCTTGATTAAAAGAAGTTGCAAAATTCTGTTTCATTGCAAAAAAATCAATAAATATATACATGGGGAGTACTGTGTTCTACAAGTGCTTGAAAATCTGCTGGTAGAAATGAGTGATTATGTAACAAGTTGATTTTACAAATTATACCTTTTTCAATTACATCCAGACAAAACAGATAAGGTCAAATCACTAAACAGCTTTGTAATTCAAATAGAAGAAATTGATACTTTGGGGGGAAAAAGAATTTATAATGAGTGGCTGTCCTTACCTATCTGAATAACGATGTTAGGGGGAAAAAACATAAATTTGGTGACTGTGGGGGCTAAAGTACTAATTTATGGTCCTCTAAAATAAAAGACGGTGCCTGATGGACATAGGCATCTACATTAGGCTGGGCTGTGAGCAATGAAAGTTAACCGTTCTACCAAACACACCCAAGTGCTAAAAAATTTTTTTTTCTTTTTTTTTTCCCCCCTTTTGGCTCTACCTCTCTGGTTCTCCCCAAGCACTAGCTCTTGGGGCCAAGGAAAGCTGGGGACCCTCTTACTCTCCAGGCCTGAGTATCCAGCTCCTCCGGTAAGGTAGGCAGAGCTCTTTGGTACCAGGTGCCTGGGGTGGGGGTGGGGGCTGCCTCTTTTATAACTGCCCCCGGGCCTGGGACCCCCAATTCGCCAGTCCAGCACGCTCGCCCTGTCGTAGGGGCCTAGCGCAGAGAGCTCGCGTCGTCGGCTTTGAAAAGCAACGCAGCTCCCGGCTCGGACGCAGTCTCCGCGCTGAGGGTCCGATTTGGGGCCGCGCCGGGTCCCTAGGACTGTGACGGGTTGGATCAGGCGACGCCAGGAGCAAGGCCGTCTCCAGCTCTACCCCAGCGCCAGCTACAGAGCCCAACGCGGCGACCCAGCGCGGCGCCGCGCGGGGAGAGAAGCAGCTGTTCCCAACAGCTGGGGGGCGGCGGCGCCAGGCGCCCCAGGTGCTGTCCCGGCCAATCGCAGGCGTCCGGCCCGCCCCCTCCCCAGCCGGGCGTCGACCCCTGGGCGGCGGGGGAAGGGAGCAGAGAGGTGGAGAGCCGTCCTCCGCACTGGTCTTCCAGCTTCCGCGGCGGGAGGGACAGCCCGAGTCGGAACCGCTCGGAGCCCCCCACCCGGGCTGCCGCCGCGCCCCCCCCCCAGCTTCCACCTCGGCGCTCGGACGCGCTCACCGCGACCCGACCCACGCCCCGCCCACGACACTTAATTCTTAAGAAAGAAAAATCTACCTCTAAAGGCACCCTCTTCTTCGCTCGAGGACCACCCTCTGCATTTCTACCTCCCCGCGGGGTGAGCGGAACCGCTGGCCCATTCTAGGGAACCAGATCCTAACCCAGACGATCCGGAGAATTTGTACCGTGACCGGCAGGGGGGGCGGGAGGAGAGAGCCCAGGCAAGTCTCCGGGGCTGCTGGCGACTTCGGAAGCCGCGCGCCCAGCGCCCTCGGCCGCCCCCGGCCGCTCGCCCCCGCCGCGCCGCCGCCCTCGCCTCCGCGCTCCCCCTTGGCCCCCGGCGGCCGCGAAAGGGTGCGGGAGACGCGGAGCCGGAGGAGGACGCGCAGCCGCTGCCCGAGCCGCAGCCGCAGCCGGAGCCCAAGCCCGAGCCGCGGGGCGGGCGCGAAGATGCACACGACCCAGAAGGACACCACGTACACCAAGATCTTCGTCGGGGGGCTGCCCTACCACACCACCGACGCCAGCCTGCGCAAGTACTTCGAGGTCTTCGGCGAGATCGAGGAAGCGGTGGTCATCACGGACCGGCAGACGGGCAAGTCCCGGGGCTACGGATTTGTAAGTTGCACGATGGGGGGGGGCGGGGGACGGAGAGCCCCGCGGGGAGATCGAGGACCATGGAGGAGGGGAAGGACAGAGTGGCGCTTGTCCGGGTGGTCGGTGCTAGGAGTGAGGGGCTCCGCGCGGCGGTGCAGGGCGCCCGGCCCTTGTGAGCTGCGCTGCCCCTTCGCTCCCCGCTGAACAGAAACTTTGCGCGCGGTGGAGCTGGAGGAGGGAGGGCCGGCGCCTGGCTGGTCCAGTACCGAGAGGACCCGACTTGGTGTTGTGTCGGGGAGCCAGCGGGGCAGGAGGGTAATGACTGCTGGATTTGGGGCGCTGGGGGCCGGGCAGGAGGGGCCGTAGACCCGCACCATTGCCTTCCCCTCCTGGAGGCTGGTGGATAAAGCGCGCTGTTGCTTTGTAAAAATGCGTTGTGTCTTCTGGCGTTTGGGCTGGGATAGGGAGGGGACGCCCCAAGAGGTCTGAGGCTCTTCCCCTCTAGTCACACCCCCACCTTTTTAATTGCAAAGGTAGGTTCTTTTTTAAAAAACAGAGAGAGATAATCCTGTGGCTCTTGGACAACTGAAACAGCACATTAAGCTTCCCGGAGATTTAAACGTGCAAATTCAGCTGCCGGAGAGCTGGGAGCCCCCAGTGTAGGACAATAGCTATTGTCGTTGGGGAGGGAGTGTTTGCCGGTGGTTGGTAGCCTGGGGCAGATGCGAGGTTGTACTTTTTTTTTTTTTTTAAAGCGATCGGTGCCTCAGAGATCTGGTGGGACCTGGGGGCACACAGGGGTGATATCATTGGGGGAGAGGGCAGCGCGGGGTGGGGGGATCTAAGAGGAGTTATAAGAATTCAGGCTTCCAAATCTCTGCTAGGCCCGGCTAGCACCCTCAGGACTTAGTGGAAGTGGAAGGTTCCTTCCTTCTTTGCTTCCTTCCTTTTTAAACGGAAGATCAAGGAGCACTGTCCAGCTTCACCCCCACCCCACCCCCAAAGAAAAAGTTGAGTGTCCGTTTATTGTGAGTGACTTCTCCGCTGTGATTCTTGGTTTCTTCAGGGGTTAATTTAGAGCTTTGTATGTATGTCTGTATGTGTGTGTGTGTTGCTAAGGTCACCATGGCTGACCGGGCTGCTGCGGAAAGGGCCTGCAAAGATCCCAACCCCATCATTGACGGCAGGAAAGCCAATGTGAATCTGGCATACTTGGGAGCAAAACCAAGGATCATGCAACCAGGTAAGAAATGTCTACCTCCCCTTCCCTGGCAGACCCCCCCCCCCACTTAGGGGCAGAATGTACCCTGATCCAAAAAACATCAGCTTCTGAGAGAATCTGTAGATGTGTTTGGTAAACTTGAACTGTGACTGGTTACTCTACCAAGGCATTAAAGATAAATGACAGTTTTGCTCCTTTTAGGATTTGAAATGTGTGCAAAAAGGATATCTTGGGGTCTAGGTAGTTTGGACAGACACAAGAGTTCATTTGATTCATCTCATTACTTTTTGGTATACATTTGTAGTCTGCACTCAATTTTCCAATTTTTAGCTAGCCACCTGTAGCTAAAAATGTGAGTCATGTGGATGATATGGGCCAAATTTGCCAACTGCAGCAAGCATGCTCCCTACTTAATGTTGTGTTTCCTTTTATCACCAGTTGCAGGGTGCTCAGAGCAGACAGCCTGCCATGAACATGACCTAGAGAAACATATGGGTGGGGGTGATATCTGGGTGGGTAAAGCTTTAATGCAAAATCTCACAATACCTGTAATTAAAGAAAATAGGTTTCACCTACCCATGTTCCCGATTTTTTAAATGACAGTCACTTAGAGATGAGAAATAGTTCAAAGCTATTGTGTAGCTGTGAGTTGCCAAAGGGGTGCAATATTTTGTCTGTGTGAAAGTATGACCTTTTGGATTATTTACCACATTGTCCTTTGCATGAGCACAAGTCATTGAGAGTTGATTATTGAGCACATTAGTCATTTCCTTGAGCAAGCAACTTTGACTAAATCACATACTCTTCACTCTTTTCTATCTGAAATTTAGGAAAGAGGTTGACACTTCCAACCACGTGGACTTAATAGAAAACTAGATTGTCAAGAAAGTGAGATTAAGTTCAAATATCCATGGGTGTTTAAAAATATGTGCTTGTCCAATATATTGTGTGTCTGAACTATTCAGAAAAGAAGGAATAGGGAGTTTGTTTCTATGAATTTTTATTACTATAAACTGTAAAGCCCATAATTTTCCAAAGCACATCCAAAGAGTTCCAGAATGTCCTGTATTGCAAAGACTTTTTATCAACTGTCATTCAGAACTACAAGAATTCTGTTAACAAATGTACTTCATTGTCAAATCCTGTTGTTCTTGGTTTTACTTGATAAGCATTTTCCCCTGGTCTAAATGTCTAAGGTCTTATTCAGTGTCTGTCAACTAAACTTTGCAGATTAAAGGGAAAAAAATTTCCATTTTTAGTCTTTATTTTGGATTAGTGACCACATTGATAAAACCAACTTTCAAAAAACATACACATACATATACTCCTCTTTAAAGTGTTCTCCTTTTTAATCAAAAGTTGTGGTTGCGTTTTTTGTGTGGTGATAGTAAATGCCCAGTCATGCACGAATAGAGAATGTGTTGTGTTTTGTTGCTAGGTTTTGCCTTTGGTGTGCAGCAGCTCCATCCAGCCCTCATACAGAGACCTTTCGGGTAAGTCCATTCATCAAGCCCTCTGAAGTTTCAATATGGCTGTCATTTGATCACCTGCCTTTTTATGATAAGCAGAAAAGTTCAACAGGTCACAAAATGTTCCTGGTTCTCCATATTTACATATGTTTGTGTATTTTTAATGGTGATGCTATAAATATTTTTAGATGAGTCAAGTTATCTGACCAAGTATGCAGACTCCAAACCAGACAAATGTTAAGCTTATGATTTTAGCAAAACAAAACGTACCAGGTATGACTTGTGCACAAGACGATTGTGTCCCGTCACCGTGACTGCTGTTCAACTTGACTCAATTTTATTTATCTCTTTCTAACCTGACAGGGCTCGTATACAGTTAAGCTAACTGATGAGAAGGATACGATGATAAGAGGTGGAATAGTTCTGTTTGGAATTAAACTCTGTAACCAGTAGACTCAGACACACAAGCTCAGATGGTGATTAACGATGCATGGATGTTGGTGTTGTTGTTTTTATTTTTCACAATAGTCAATAGCCCTCCGTGTGCTTTATTTTATTTATTACAGTAATGAAGTGGTGTTGATAGCTAAACTGTGTGCTTTTTACTTAATTGAAAAGAGCTGTAGTGAAAGTGTTTTCTTCTCCTCTGGGAAGGGGCTCTTTGCGGTTTGGTTTTGGTGGTGGTGTTGAGGGTTTGACTTCTCACTTTGCCATGAGAAGCAAAGGGCTTTTTTTTTTTTTTTTTTTTTTTCCCCTGCTTTAAGCTCTAGCCTGTGACTTCCATTTAACCGTCTTTTTGTAGTGAGTGCTAAATTGTGTGATTTCTCTCTGTAAGATTACAAATTCATTGCTTGCATGTCCTAAGTTTCTGTTCTACGGGAAGTTTTCTTTCCTTTGCTGCGTATATCTACTTGTAGGCTTTCTAGTTTAAGGTTTCAACGACTCTCATCAGATTTCATTAACACTAGCCAGTTTGGGCAGTTTCTTAAATTTTTTTTTTTAATTTTTGTTTTGAGTAGCATAGCACTAACCTCCATCCTTCAGACCTAACAGGTGGACAGCCTGCTCATTTGTGTTGTCTCTGGGTTCTGTCATTACCAGCTTTCCTGTCCTGAAGTCCCCAAGTCACTTCCACTTAGACATGATCTTGTGGGAGGTCACCGCTTAAATTTATCCTGGACACTGGAGTCTGAACTATATTCTACCTGTCAATATTTCTGTAATTCCAATGCCACAGATTTAAACTTCCTTTTTAAATAATCTAGTTGTTCAAAAAACATTTTATCCTCAGCACTAATTTCTTCTTTAGCTTAGGACCTCAACACCTATATATGTAACCTGGAAGGATGGAATCTGTCTGTACAGATAGATGTCTGCCTTCTATGTCTCTGAAAATAGGCAAAATAATAATAATAATAATAATAATAATAATAGTAATTTGACTGAGAGTCAAGTTATATTTTCCATGAACACCTTATTACCTTCCCTTTAACATATTAGAGGTTCACTTTTATTGCCAACTCCAACATTTTTTTGTTTGTTTAGCTATAGAAGAGTCTTTTGTCCACTCTGATTAGAAAGGGCCCTCATATATGCAATAGCTGTGTATCAAACCCATCCAAGCCAACTTGGATACTGATAACAAATTGTGGATCTGATCATCTCCATGGGTTTTCATTGATCTAGACTATTTAAATTGGAATTAGAAAGAGAAATATATGTCTGAAGAAGTGGCGGGGTGGTGAGCCTAGTAATGATCTTAAAACAGTTCTGAAACCAAATCCATCAACAAGTATTAGTGTATATTTATGTTTTCACTGTGCAAAGTGAAAAAAAAAATTGTGCACTCTTTGGGAAGAAAGAGAACACAAACCAATCAATAACTACAGATTGCTCAATGACTTGGTATTGTTTCAAATACAGGAAGAATTCAGAGTAGCAAGAAAATAAGAAATGAGTTGAATGCTCTGGACAGGTCAGTGTGGGGAACATGCTTGCATTAGACTCACACCAAAGCCATGTCCTGGATGAGTTAAACGAAAACTGGTTGGGTCTGACGGCTGTACCTTTCTAGTCCTTGAGGATGGAGACAGCATAAATGAAAGTCCAGTGCATGGAGACCAAACTGTGTGGAAGGTCCTGAGAGCCAGGATTGCACGTTTGGCCTGGTCACAGTAGTTATCACAGATCCTTAAGGAAGAAAGTAATACCAGGGAGATGAGAACCACCAGGGTAAAATGTGTTATGGAAATTTTAAACCAAGCATGTTTTGATTTAGTAACCTTTTGTTTTTCATCTCTTCTAATGTGAACTGTCTTGATAAAGGATGGTGATTATCGCTATGTGCATAAATTATTTGAACTTGAATTCTTATTAGACATAGATAGCGTTCCAGGTGGGCCAAGCGAACTTTCTCTTTCTTTTTTAAGGGGTTCTCAGCACCACTCTAATTCTGAGTCTGTACCCAACAAATCACACCTGGTCATCCTAAATTCTATGTGAATGCCACATGTTCTTATTTTAGGCCTGCAAAGATGCTTGAGGATTTTTTTTTTTAATTTTACTTCACTTGTTTGAAATTCTAGTGACTTTTTTTTTTTTTTTAATGTGATCCTTACACAACCCCCAGGTGACTCTGGATCTTTAAAGACAAAACATTAGCCTGAAGGAATTTCTACATCTACGTAGTCAGATGTAGAGAAACTGAGGGATTTGCTGGACAATGGCTTATAAATAGCTTGTGTTTGAGAGAAGCATTTTCTTGTAGAAACCTTGGAGGAAACTGCTGATCTGGAATAGAAACTTCTGGGCTAGTTTAGATCCGGTGGAACTTACACTGCGGTATTTACTCAGTACACATTTAACAGCTAAGGCCTTTAGTTTTTGTACCAGGAATTGAACTCAGGGGCACTCGACCACCAAGCCACAAATCCAGCCCTATTTTGTATTTTATTTAGATACAGGGTCTCAATGGTTTGCTTAGCGCCTCGCTTTTGCTGAGCCTGGCTTTGAACTCAGGATCCTTCCTCTCCGCCTCCCAAGCCAATGGGATTATGGGCGAGCCTCATCATGCCCAGCTTAAGTGCTAAGTTGTATGCAAGGCATAGTACCCTGTTCTAGGTATTCATCCCGTCCACTACGTGGGGCAGGATAGACTGTAACTACGGTTGACCAAGCATCCACTACCTGCATGGGACAGATAAAGGATTTACATAAATTACATCATTTAATTCTCACAATAAGTATTTGTCAAAGACACTGTTAATGTTATTTTCTATGAGCAAAAAACCCTAAGATGCTGAGAGTTTAATTGACTTTCCCCTGATCACAGGTCTGGTAAATGTTGGAGTCTGATTCTAGATTCAGGATCATGGTCTGCCTGACTTCAGAAGCTGTGTTCTTTTCTTAGTGTCAAGTTATAGCCAAAAAAGACACAATTCCCTTCTCATGATGTAGTAAGATAGCTGTCCACGTGGCTTCAGACGAGTGAGAGTGGTCAGATCTGTAGGACTCAGGAGGTGTTCACGAAGGAAGTCCAGGGGGGCCTGGGTCTTACAGGGTGATGAGGCTAGGGAACTGTTTTACTGCATAGCTGCTATACTTGTCATTATAGGCCCTTCCCATAGAGTTTTATTTAATGAGCAGCAACTCAGGGTTGAAAATATCAGTCCATTTCCCATGCAAAAAGGTGAGACTAGAAGGTAAAGCAAATTTCCAAAGCCTCCTACTGAGCGAGCGCTAGAGCTGGGGTGGATGGGACCTGGTTTACCAAAGGTAGCGGTGAAGTGCGGTGGACATCCCAGGTGAGGGATGAAGGCATGAGCAAAGAACCCTGTGCATATGCAGGAACCATGAAGGAGTCCAGCTGACCTGCGCTCAAGGAAAGGCAGAAATGCCAATAAGGTATTTTGGAGCCAGATACATAAAAGGCCTAAAATGGCAAGGCTTAAAAAAAATGTGCACTTAGGTCTGACGCTAGGGGCTGTGGATTCCTTAGAGCTAGTGAGCGAGATGGAGTCTTGATCAGCAGTTTGTGTAGTAAATTGGAAAAGGAAGCCAGGATGCTGCCCCAAAGTCGGAGAGAGGCATCAGAGGGACCCAAAGAGATGGGGAGAAAAAGGAAAGGTAATTTTCTTTGAAAATTCCCCACAGTATCTGCTTTGCTCTGGTGCTGTTGAAACTGCCCAGCGTGTACATACAAGGATTAACTGCCGGAAAGTCCACTGATAATAAATATAGCAGGAGCATCAGGCACAGTGCACATGTCTGAAATCCCAGCCAACTTGGGAGGCTGAGACAGGAGGATTCCCAGTTCAAGACCAGCCTCAGCAATTTAGCAAGGCCCTAAGCAACTTGGCAACACTGTCTCAAAATAAAAAAAAAGATATAAAAAGGGCTGGGAATGTAGCTCAATGGTAAAACACCCCCTGCATTTGAATCCTCAGGAAAGGAAGGAAGAAATGTGGTAGGCGGGAGATTTGCAAATGGCCTCAGGGAGTTCTGTAGGCTATTAAAAGAACTCGCAATGCAGGGATTGCAGCAGAAATGCCACTGTACCCCATGGTGCTATTCTGCCTTCCTCGGGAACTGAAATGTGGCAGGTTCTCCACAGTCTCCTGGGTTCTCCTCTTCCTTAAACCTTCCAGGGCTCCACGATTCCATTTGCCCTCCAGACGTCCTGCTCACCATTGCCAGACTTCATGTAGAAGTCTGATCTTCCTGCAAAAGTTATAACTCTCATTGGGTGGCTTTATCAGATCAGAACTGTTTCTTAATAAAACGTTAATGCAGAGACAAGAGTACTGTAAGCCCTCTTCCTGTGTTTCAGTGTGTTCTTCAAACACACACACACACACACACACACACACACACACACACACGTTTTTACTTCTTTCTGAGACAGGAACCTAGTAACCACTGTGTTGTGCTGGGAACTTCAGGAATACAAAGGGTGCATGCCTGGGTATCAGTGAGGTCTGTGCTGGCTGGCCTTTGCAGCTGATAGATGTTTTACTTTAGCCTTATAAAGACATTTTACCCGCTGGAAACCCTGTCGCATGACAGGATCAAAAATAGCCCGGCTGCAGCCACTGCTGTCCATCACCACGTGTAAACTGGCATTGAGAGGAGGCCCTCTTAGCCGCGTCTGCACATTGTGGACGTGGCGGCTCCAGGGACAGTGTTCCATAAAGCCACACCTGTTGCCCTGAGTGAGCCAGTTACCTGATCCGCAGCACAGTCCCACGTGTGTGCATGACCCGCGCGCCCGGTTTGGGACAAGCAGTTAGAACATCTCTCAGTGTCCTCAGAAACACCGATGACGTCGTCTCCCTGGGCACTGGGAAAGATCTACAACTCTAGTAAAATTGACCGTATTTTTATCATGGGGGTCAAAGTTCACTACCATCTGTGAGGAATTCATCCTTTCCAAGGCTGTTTGTTAATAAGGGCTTTCACTACCCCTCTGAAAAGGCAAAGCAAAGTCTGTGTTTTTGAAAAATCCAATTATGAAATTTTGTTTAGAGTCTTGAAAGTTTTGAAGAATTGCTCATACAAGAAGATTGTGTTTATACTTCTTGTAAGCTGGGCTTGTTGATACCGGGTAGCAGTCTAGTATCATGTTTTAGGGATTATGCTAGAGATTGTTTTAAAGAAAGATAAAATAAATTGTATTTGAGGTAGTATTTTACAAATGGTCAGTAATCAATCTCAAGAGTGAGAGCTGAGAGGCATTGGATTTTTTAAAATACCGCTTATGATTTATTTTTCAAATTAACTTTTGAGTAATGTCACTAGAGTCTGTTTTGTATGTTACCCGTGAATGTAAACTTTTAAGAGGAACTTGACTTTGTTTCACTTTCTTGAACTTTTTCAGGATAATACTATATAATTGAATTTTGCAAAATATTGACTAATAGGGCAGATGTAAAATGGACATACTAATATATCTCTTTCTATTGAGTTGGAGGACAAAATAGGACTTAGCTGATGTACAGAGTAAACGTTCCTTATAGCATCCATATTTTAAGTTTCTATTAATGTTAGAAATATTTAGCTGCATTTCCCTTCCTTTTCCCTCACCCTCCTCATTTCCCCAAAACCCCTTCTGTCTGTCTTGCATAGAGATAAACAAGCTGGCTGACCCTCAGTTGCCTGATAGTCAAACAGGTTTGATTGACCGTTGTGTCCTTATGGATTTTATGGAAAAATTAAAGAAAGAAAGAAAGAAAGTGTGCCGCACATCTCCTTGGGAATCACTGCCATGAATGTTAATAGCATTTTTGTAGCTTCCCACAACAGCCTCTTGTGAGAGTGAGCTGCACTACGTTCGTTTGAGACGTGTGATTCTGCTGTGTTTACCACACTTGTGAACTTTTAAACTCCTTTTTTTTTTATTTTGTCGCCTGCTTTTTTTTTAATTATCATTTTTAATAAGGGTGACTGAGGTTGCAGAGAGATTAATGTGTGCCGAGTCTGCATAGCAATTTCAAGTAGGGTTGCCATGATAATAAACAAACCGACTTTGTTGAAATTCAGTTTTGAAAAACTGGCCATCACCGTTTACCTTTCTAAGTCTTATATTCGTAGCTATGAACTTTCATATTTGCTAACCGTTTTGTTTTGTTTCGTTGGTTTTTTTTTTTGTTTTTGGGGGTTTTTTTGTATGCACCCTTTACAAAATTATCTTTAAAAACCTTAATCAATCAAGCCTTTGTTAAATCTCATATGCAGCACTAGTCATTATGAACCTTGATTTGGTCTCAGAACTTTGGTGAATCCGTGCTACTTAAGGAATCATAAGTGAAAATTCTAGCAGGGAGGGTCATGCTCCATGACTTTGGCTCCTGCCGGAGTTCTTTGGATGGACTGCTGAAAGTAGATATTATGGCAACCCTATACTCATAATAACCACTAAATTTGAGTTTGTCTCATTTCTGATCGATGAATGCAACAGGTGGGAGGCGACGGCTGCCTGACTTTGTTTCCTATTTCTCTGCAGGATTCCTGCCCACTATGTCTACCCGCAGGCTTTTGTGCAGCCTGGAGTGGTCATTCCGCACGTGCAGCCCACGGCCGCTGCAGCCTCCACCACGCCCTACATTGATTACACTGGAGCTGCCTATGCACAATACTCCGCTGCAGCTGCTGCGGCTGCCGCGGCCGCCGCCTACGACCAGTACCCCTATGCTGCCTCTCCAGCGGCTGCAGGATACGTTACCGCGGGGGGCTACGGCTATGCAGTCCAGCAGCCCCTCACCGCTGCGGCCCCTGGGACAGCTGCGGCCGCCGCTGCTGCTGCTGCAGCCGCTGCAGCCTTTGGCCAGTATCAGCCTCAGCAGCTGCAGACAGACCGAATGCAGTAAACCAGCCATCTGATCAAAGTTGAATTGTTTTCTCTTTCCCTCCCAATTTTCCAATTTTCAGTAGCTATTAAGAGAGTTAACATTGACTTAACAGCTTTAAAAAAAAAAAAAAGCGATGCTATTGTGAAGCAGAGTTATTATTATTATTTTTTTTTATATATACTCCAGGTAGTGTTCTAGATAAGAAAGAGGTGAGAATGAGGGGCATGGGCGCAGTTTTGGAAATCAATCCCAAAGAGCCTGAGTCACTGAAGGCCACCACGAGAGGATGGCAGGCGCACCGATGGAACTTCACTTTTGTAACGGGATTTTTATTTTTGCTCTTTTTATAGTATCAGGGAAGCAAACTGCCTTTTACAAGTTAGAAAAAAATGCTATTTGAATCTAGTTGAACCAGGGAATACAGAGTGAGCAATATGTAGCTTGAAATGCATTTAAAAAGCAGATTTTTTTTTTTTTAAATCAACAAAAACGGGAAAGCACTGATTGTCGCTTTTAGCGGTCACTATTGGCCTCTAGGACTTTTCTGAGGAAGAAGGTGGTGTTTATTCTATCTCAAAAATGGGCATCGAACAATCAATCCAGGAGCGTGGCAGTGGGCACGGTGGTAGACAGGCTCCCTCATCTGTCCGCTAGATGAGTGGGACCGTGTGGCAAGTGATGTAGACTTACTGGGCGCCGCAGTCGCTGTACAATCAGTCACCCACGGTTCTGGAAGGAACACATCACTTGTGCTTGTTTGATGAGCTTGTCACATCCTAATCCCTCTCCCCATCCTGTTTCAATTTTGGGAAACTTGTATCTGCTGGTGTCAGCAACTCTGATCCCTAAACAGGATCAGACTTTTACTACTACAGCCTTCTCTTTCTATTTATTGTGTCGACTCGAGGCTTAGGAATAGAGGCAGGCCAAGTTTGCAGACGCTAAACCCTTAAGAGCTGTCTTAAGGACAATTTATTTCCCCCCCCCCTTTTTAAATAATTTTACACTTTTTAGTATCTATTTCAGAGTCCTATTTAAAACTATTTATTAGTGAATACAGTTACCTGAGACAACAAGGTTATTGAGATTACAATTCTTCAACGGTTAATGATAATGTGGTTTATACTGTGCCTTAATAGTAATGCTATTTAAGATATTTATTTTTAAGTTTTACTATGCTGCACTCTAAAGAAAGGAACTTTAGATGTGACACTGTAAAATTATGTATTCATCTCATGGCATAAATTATTTAGTAGGTCTAGATGTAGCATATTAAATATTAACCTATTCAACTGAAGATGTTGACTTGGATTTATTTAAATTCATATGTGCACTGTATAAGAGAGTACTCTTACATTAACACATCTTAGTTTATTTTAGTTGAGATTTTTTTTTAAAACAAGCTACATTGCTAGTTCCATGCTTTCTTCTCTGATTTTTGCTCGTGTAGATCTCATTTATCAGTAATTCGTTCCTTTAACACTATTCTTATGTAGTTTATGTAGTTTTTAAATGCTGCTTTACGTTTTTCTTCTGAAACCGCAATACTTGCAATTTTTATTCTTAAACTAAATTGAATACTATTTTACACTGTATTGGATTTTTATACTTGAACAATTTCATACAAGGGAAGACAGGTTAGCATTTTTATGGACTTTCTCCATTATCACTGGATTTACTTTTAAGTATCCCCGTACTAGACAGTGTTACGTGATGTAGACATGACTCTCCTGTGCAAATTATTTATTCATTGTGTATATTGCTTTATAACATTTCAGATCTTCTAATCTATTCACTTGTATTAAATATAATTTTTAAAAACTTCTGTTGCAGTGATCATTTCTAATTCTGTAGTAAAAACGACGATTTCTCCTTTTAACTAGTGTTAATAGCCATGATTCACATGAAATTCTTCCAGCAAGCATAAAACTTTCCCAACCCCCTCTTTTTTTGTACCTTTAAAGTTCACCAGTTGTCTACCTCATCCTTGGCAAATGATAAGGGCATCCCCCAGGAGTGAACCCTAAAGGACTCTTGGTATCCCTCAGAATTTTTTGGATGAAGTTGGGTGGAAAGTAGTGGGTTATGGCAGGGACCAGTCCGAAACTGGGATTTGGAACCATAGCCCACCATTTTCTACCAATGTAAGTGGAGCAGACTGCTCTCTGATCCCCATTTTTTCTTGAGGTTTTTATGGGTTAAAGATACCAGTCTCTCATAATTATTTAAATATTAAATAAAATACACCAACTACTTGTCACAGAGCCACATATGTGGTAAGTCAATATGTAATAGCCATTGTTATGAAGCCCTACCATGAGGCTGACCAAAAGAAAGGAGTTGGTTTACGATTTTTAAAATTTCTTTCCACAAAGGTATGGTAATATCTAATGAGGTGTGTGTTAGCACATCGAGTGAGAGACGTCACATCCATCGCCATGAAGCATGTGCTCTATTAATTGTAGAATGGGTTGTTGATCTCTGTCCGCATGTTTCCGAATCCATGATAGATCTTTTCTTGAACTCCATTAGTTTCATGAACTCCATTAGTTTCAATAACTTTGAGCAACAGAAAACGGTGATAACAACAGACTTTTTACTTCATAATTACCACCCCATTTAGAGACATCACAGGCGCAGATTTTAATTGCCTATAATTTTCCAAGGAAAAATAGATACCAGGGAGCGGTATTATTGCACTCCAATGTGTTATTTAGGATCAATAAAATAATTTCTAAGCTACTGAATTCAGTCAGTGCACCAATGACTATATTCTAAAAGACATGATTTACTTTTAAATTTTTCAGGTTTATGAAAGGTCACTTTTCGTCTGCAATAAGCCATCTGTTGCAGAACTTGAAATGAAGCACTATTTGATTTATTGATCAAAAATAGGTCGGACAGTTCTGGAGAAAGCTTGTCAAAAAATAGCTGTATTCAAGCATGTTAAAAGTCCACCCTTCTCTGGACTTAACTTTCTTGGATGTGTCTCCTGACATGTAGAAATAGCGGCAAGATTGTCACATTTAATGCTAAGGCATACATTTCTAAAAAGAAACAGATTGTAACAGGTGATCCCGAGAACTGAGGAGCCATGACTTAGAGTCATCATTTGTCTAGCAGGCGACCAGTACTTGAGTAGGAGTGGTGTGTCTTGGGATCCCAAGTGCTGGCTGAGTCCTGTTTTCCTTACTTCCTAATAGGGTGATCTGCACCTCTCCAAACTAGTGAAACGTGAATTGCTCATACCCAACACAATGGCTCGCTCTGTCTCTGAGGTTATACTGATGAAATGAATGCTACGGTTCAAGTGTAATTGTTATTTTTTGGTCACTCGTGTTGAAAATTTGGTCCCCATTATGAGATATTAGGAGGTTGGACCGAGTGAGTCTAAGAGGTAGTTAAGGCTCTGACCTCATGAGTGGATTAGCTCATTCGTGCAATTCACGTATTAATTGGTATATTAGCTTTTCATTGCTCTGACTAAAATACCTGGCAAGAACTCAAGAGGAGAAGAGGTTTACTTTTGGGCTCACAGTTTCAGAGGTGAAGTCCCTAGCGGGCCAACCCCGAAGCTATGGTCCCAAGGTGAGGTAGGCCATCATGATGGAACTGTGTGGCGGAGAGGGGCTGCCTAGTCCATGGCAGCTGGACAGCAGAGGGGGAGCAGGAAGCCAGGACCTTCCCCCAGTGACCCACCTCCTCCAGCCAAGCCCTCCCTGTCTACAGGAACTCCCAGCACTCCATTCTAATCATAAACCCACATAGTGGATTAATCCACTGTCTAGTTTACAGCTCACATAACCTAATTACTTCACCTCTAGACGTTCCTGTCTGACTTGAGCTCTGCAGGGACACCTCACATCCAAACCATAACAACAGGTGAAAGGGTTATCTGGAGAGTGGGTTTGGCTAGATCTCCTGTGCGCTCCCCGTCTCTCACCCTGTGATGTCCTGCACTGCCTCGGGACGCTGTCAGTGAGGAGGCCATCACCAGGTGTGGCCCCTTGACCTTGTACCAGAACATTAGGCCAAAATAGACCTCTTTTCTTGCTAACTTACCTAGTCTGTGAAGTCGTGTCATTAACCACAGAAAATGGACTAACACAGTAAAGTCACTTGATAGGAGAACATTTTAGAAATTCTAACGCTTTGGACAAATAGCCATGGTTATACTCGGGTGATATGTACGATATTGGTGACTGACTTAATCAATGATTAAGTGATCCTTTGAAAAGGAAGACACAACTGCATTTCACGAGATTGTGTGAAATATGATTTTATGCCAAATGAGTCACAGATAAACAGCAGCATGAAAGTCACATGGAACGAGAGAGAAATCGCCCAGATCAGGGAAGGAAGAACAGACAAAAAGATTATGGAATCCATTTCTCTCGTGGAGGAACTAAATTTAGTCCTTGGTTTGCTCCTGTCAAATATGGTTCTTAATTCTCCGCGAGGCTTGAAGGCGTTCATTAAGCTGACAGCCTGAGGTTTAGAGGGGCAGAGGTGAAGAGGAGCAAAAAATAAACAAATGCATGTTCAGCCTTACCCTAGCGCTCCCTTCTCCTTCAAGAGTTCCAGGCGGTTTCCATGGAAATTCCAACTTTGTTTTTCTTCAGCACTTCAAACAGAAGCGATTTCATTTTGGGTATTTGTTCTGAGTTGAGTTTCAGTTGTTCAATCCCAATTTTAGCTAAATCGTTTAAATCTCAAGCTCTCTGTTAGTTTTATTCTATTTGTCATTGACGTAATAATTGAATTTATTTATAGAGTGTGATGTTTTGTTATGTGTACACATTGTGTAATGATCAACTCAGGGTCATAAGCCTATCCATCACCTCAAACGGTGAAGTAGTCAGAGCATTCAAAATTCTCTCTTCTGGTCAGGGGTGGTGGTTCATGCCTGTAATCCAAGCCACTCAGGAGGCTGAGGCAGGAGAATTGCCAAATTCAAGGCCAGCCTCAGCAACTAAGGAAGTTGCCAAGCAACTTAGCAAAACTTTGTTTCAATATAAAAATATAAAAAGGGCTGGGGATGTGGTTCAGTGGTCCAGCGCCCCTGGGTTCAGTCTCTAGTACCAAAAAAAAAAAAAAAAGACTCTCTTCTGGCTATATTGGCATATGTAGTACATTATTGTCAACTGCAGTCACTCCACTGTACAATAGATATCAGAACTATTCCTCCTATGTAACAACCAACCTCTCCCCATTCCCCACTCCCCACGAACTACTCCAGCCTTTGTGAACTACTATCTACCTCTGCTTCCATAAGATCTGTCTTCTAGATTCTACTTACAAGTGAGATCAAGCAGTATTTTTCCCTCTCCCCCTGGACATAATGTCTCCAGGTACATTCATGTTGTTGCCAACGACAGGATTTTGTTCTTTTTTTGTGGATGAGTAGTACTTCACTAGGTATGTATGCCACTTTTAAAAATCCATTCATCCTTGGATGTACACAAGTGATTCCATATTTTGGTGACTTTGAGTAAAGTGCAGATAGCTCTTTGATAAACTGATTTAGTGTCCTTTAGCACACTGAGTAATAGGATTGCTAGATCCTGTAGTTCTAGTTTCAAATTTTAATAGTGGTGATAATCAGTATTCCCACCTAAGTGCATGCGGTCCTCTTTTCTCCACATCCTCACCAACATTTATTCCTTGTCATCCTAACTGAGGGGAGGTGATATTTCATTGTGGATTTGGTTTGCTTTTCCCTAATGATTACTGAAGTTGAACGTTTTCTCATCTACCTATCGGAATTTCAGGTTTTGAAGTACCAGTTGTAAATCAAGAAGAAAGAACGAGACAACCCATATACAAGTCCTTTAGAATTTTTAGATAAGAAAAGTGATCTACATTTTATACTTTGATATAAACAATTCTGAGTAATTGTGCTGTACTGGGCCCTTCTAGACCGACTTCCTCAAGGATAAGGTCTACAAAGTCCTCCTGTCTGGGCCACTGTCTCCCACAGGACAAATGCCATTTCTCTCTTACAATCAACGTGCCGCCACTGATCTATTAATATGCTTTAAGTGGATTGGAGGGTACACATTGTTTACCATTCTGCCACCGTTAGAGGTAATTCCAATTACATTATGACAGGGATTGAGTACAAATCGTTATTTCTTTTCATTTAGTCACTCAGAGAATGCATTCATCAAAGGGCCGATATCTAATTCTGACTCCCAACGTGAATTCTAAATGCAAAGGCATGGTTTTGCAAAGCAGAGAACGGTGTTTCAGCGCTATTTTAAAATGCTGTTCATCCGACAGTCCCAAGCAGCTAAGGACTCGTTTACTTTGTAAATACTCCTGCTCTGTCACCTGTCCTTGTAGATGCCTCAAGAAAAATAAAGGGACACCGTGGGTGCTCCTTGGGGGGCCAGGGCAGGCACTTTGCATTCTGCCTGCACTTCACGTGCATTTTGAAATTGAGAAAAGGGATTACAGAAAGGATGTTAAAAATAAATAAATAGATGAAGAAAGTGGTTGCTGAAATCAAAAGCATCTCCTAAAAATAGGAGCATGAGATGAAGGCGTGGGGGTCACATGGGCTGGACCTCCTTAGTCTGCCACTAGGGAGACCATGCAGGGAAGAGGGGTGTCACTTGCTGAGTGCTACGAGGTTGGCTCTGATGGTGCGAGTAGAGGGACAGCAATTGGTTGCATGGTTTCCTTCTGTTTAATAATTGAATCAATGACATTTGGGATAGCAGCTGAGTTCCTTTTAAATTTTTAAATCTTAATTGACAAAAGATAATTGTATATATTTATGGAATGCATTGTGATGTTTTGATTGGAATCATCAGTTTGGGC